GCGCGGCCATGAAGCGGGGAAGGTTGAGCTTCATATCAACGTTTTATTCCCCTAGCCGTGGTGATTGTCATCACGAATTATATTGTCAGAATTGGCCGCAGTCGAACTATTTTTTTTTTTCTGTTGAGGGGCACGACTTAAGAATTGTTTTTTTTTCATTACTGTACAGCTAAGAGGTTTTTTTCCTACTAAAACCGTTTGGCTTGTTTGATGTGGGGGTTAGTTGGTTTCAATGCTGATAGGCTGGAAATAAAAGGTGCAGGTGYGGTCCAAAACAAACGTGGAGAAAAACCTCATTCAGCTGAACTCTGAGTATGCATTAAAAAAAAAAAAACTGTAGTGACTTACATCTCTTCATACTCGTGGTGCACTTCACCTTATCAGTATTAAGGATGGAAATAATCAGATGAGGTGACTTTTACCGGGCAATCTTTAAATGGCCCAGCGGCATGACTGACAGAGCAGGGAGAAAGATTGTGCTCCACTTGCTGCCTCATCATTAAGAGCAGCTTCAATCACTCTGGGATGTGTCATGCTTTTATTACTTTTTACTATCGACACCCAAAAAGAAAAAATCTATTCTTCTGGCTACAAAACAGCYGTGGCAGCAGAAACCAGGGCTGGAAATGCTTTTGTATAGAAATGCGGATAGTCTGAAAGGAAAGACAATTTTCTGGCGTTTCAAGGAATGCTATAACCAATTGTACTTGAGGAAAATTGCGGATATGTTACTTTCTCATTTTATAGTGCAGATTATAATTGCAAGATGAAAGTGGCATGGGAACAAGGCGACATGCATGAAACTAAACTTGAATGGATGAGGCAATTACAGTGCTAGAGCCACACAGAAAGAGAGAACTGCTATTATCGGTGCTTGTCCTCATCATATGTAACATTTATTCAGCATCCATCCTGTTYTCATTTGGAGTAGTCTTTCATTAAATCCAGGAACAGATGTATATGGATTTGCCAGCTGGGACAGTATGGAACGACCCTTTCCGGTACATTGTTTTGTCCTCAGTAGTTCTAAAGTTTTCAAAGCAGTGCAGCTCTGCTGGTTCCTCATGAGGCTCTTACACCGTGCTCTCAAATATCGCGTTGTTCAGTAGGCTTTCTTAAATCCCCTCCTTCCTAATTTGCACTTCATTATTCTTGATTTTAGCTTCCTCTACTTCATAAATTCTCCCTCATGAGTGTAGACACACTTAAAGTGTTTACATATCTCCTAAATCATKGTGTAATCCCTCGTCCAACTTTCATTTTTCTTTATCTGAGCTGCTTCCACTCTGTTATGGTAATGGCAGCTCAAAATTGAATTTCTGAAGGAGTCAGACAGGACCTGTATTATGACTTGCTACTTCCCAGCACACATCTATATACTATGCATATAGATCAAACTACACATTTTACATGTGCTTAATTAATGGCAGCACTAGCACTACCAAATGGTTCAAGAAATACATGTATTTTGGTGTCATAAAGACAAAATCTGCTATCTTCACCTTTTGTTTCCGGTGGTRCATTGAATCACGGCGACGGGAGCTGAGGCTCAGCCTGTGCCATGCTCACTTCTGTTGCAGCTGGAGGATGCCCTTTCCTCAAGCCTGCCTCTGTTGCCACTCACGTGATGGTGCTTTTATTCCCTTCTGTCAAAATGGGCCTGCTTACCTTAAGCAGTTTGCGGTGTGATTCCGTGGTGGTTTCAGATAATCCAAATCCCATTTCTCTCATCCCTCCTCTTATTCCCAGCTTTACACTGCCTTTTTTTACCCTGTGCTGATATAAAGGCTTATGCTGCCTCTCACTTAAACAACCAGGCTTTGCAAAAGAGGCTCATTTGGCCTGCGCAGGTGCACCTAAAATAAACAATGGAGTCAGTCTGCGGATCCAGCTCCTCTGACAGCAGGGCAGTAACAGAGGTGATGTCCTTCCTATTTGTGCTGTTCCTTCCAGAAACTTTGGATGACTTGCTGTTCGCAGGAGTTCTGATTTGTACTAATTACCTGTCTTCATACCCACTCTGTCTTTCTTTCCTGTAAGAAATTATGCTGTCACTTAACCATTGATCTAGCAATATACTAAACCAGCTGTAATTAACAAACTGATAAAGATACATATGATGCTTAGACAATAACATGATAGCCTGTGTGTATTCCGCACGCCCATGACAATGCAAATGTCATGCAGTCTAATTTTAGACACGACACAGTGAGTCTTCTGTTCATTAGCCTTTGTTTATTGTCTTACAACCAGCCTTAACAAGAYGGATTTTAAAGAAAACAGAGCTCAGTATTTCAGTTTCTAAGCCATGAATTATAACCCCCTAGTTTAATAATGTATTGTATTTTTTAACTGCTGCAGTAGTAAAAATCCTTTATATTCCATTTTCCGATGTAAGGCAAGTCTTCAGGGGATATATCCATTGACCGTACAACATTTGGGGTCTCTAGCCAAGAGTTTACTCACTAGATTATTTTCAGCATGATTTAAGACACGGAAGAGAACTGCCTGGAGCTGGCCAGAGAGGAAGAACGGAGGAAGGAAGCTTACACGAAATAAGATTAGATTTGCTTGGTTTTGCTTGGTGCAGTTTAGGTCTGCTCTTGTTTTGTTTGGTTTTGTTTTGCTTTCTAATTAATTAGAATATATTAGGTTTATCTGGAATACGGGTATGAAAATTAATAAGGCGAACTAGCAACATCCTGGCACCTGCCAGTTTATGCACAGCTCTAGTGCCAGATCCGAAGCCCCTGATAGCACTTCGTTGTGTTTTCGTTGTTGGCCAAAATGATGAGTAAAACAAGAGGTTTTTATAACATGAGCGACTTATTAATGTCCAAAGGGACAACTGGATATTACATTTTAAGATCTTTCTTTTTTTTCTTTTTTTTTTTTTTTTTTTTTCAGGAAAGCAACCAAATATTTAGGGAAAAAAAATAATACATTGCTCCCCCTTCCCTTTCCAATGCCTTCACCTTCTTGAATAGGGTGGCAACATACTTTAAAAGTGCATGCAATATCTTTGCAGGTCTCCATTACAAGAGGCGTTGGATGTATAAGTGAGACTCATTTATTGTTAATTTATCTTCCTGATGCACAATATCAGACTCCATTTCCATTGACTGAATAACCACGGAGTCGTTATGAAGGCAATAAGAACTGAGTTACTAGCCTTGGAAGTGATTGCTGCTGGATTTTTGCCTCTTAAGCCTCCAAGCAGGATGTTGTATTACTATGTGCAGTTCTCTTCCCCGATGCACCCTGGTCTGATTGTTGGCCCAGCTATGAGTGTATCCCTGTGCTTCATGCAGAATACTTGCCTYTCAGTGGAGCCACAAGTACACACGAGACCATCAATGACATTTTCCATTTCCATTGCCATGCGCCTTTTTCATGCAGAGCTATCTCTCTTGATGAAATACTATTTAGTGCAATCTAGTAGASTGATTGCTAGATGCTAGTAAATCATCAAGGTCTCTCTAAAATCCTTTCCTCCACTTGAAACAGGTGTTGTAGGTTTGTCTGTGGAGAGACTTCTGGACATTAAAATCCTTTTAAATGAGATTGATTTATTTGGGAGTTGTGTATGCCTYCCTCTTAGGAGCACAGATGCCAGGCCAGGTTTGGGAAAGGCCCAGCCACAAAGTGGGCACTGGGAGTGTTCATCCCTGAAGTTGGCTTTTCACAGCCAGAGAAGGAGTTTGAAGTTAAAGTGTCACTCTTCCAGTCTGATTATGTGAATTACAGAATCTAAATCAAAAATTAAAAATGACATTTTCATTGAGTAAATTTAAAAAAAGKTATAATATCTAGATTTGCATAGATGAGGTAAGGGAACACCATTGTTGCCACTCAGCAYGGGCTTCTCCTTATTTAAAATGTTCATCAAGCTGAGCCTGGCACAAAGCTCAGCAGCCCTTTGAATAAGACGTACRCAAGGCAGCAGGCAGTCATGTATGTGGCCTAGTGAGAAGCAGGATTATCTCCTTACTGTAATTTGGGTGATTTTTTTTTCCTTTCTTTATTCACTGTTTATAATTGCAGTAGTGCCCTGGAGCCTCAGAAATGAAGAAGAAACAAACTTCTTCACAGATTTTGTCCCATCTCCTGCTTGAGCACAGACATTGGACTAGATGATCTCTAGAGGTTTCTTCCAACCTCAACTATTCTGTCATTCTGTGACTCTTTGTGCCTCTTCTCTCTCCACAGGTAGAAACTGCCACAATTCAGCTAGGAATTCCATGTTCCGGGGACCAAAAGCAAGCATGNTTTTTTTTTTTTTTTTTTTTTTTTTTTTTTGCTTCCCAAAGTAGTTGCTGGGAGGGACAGGGGAAGCTGGTATCTCTAATACCGTGTCAGTATTTTGATTTTTTGATTTAGGAGTCACTGAATAAAGTGTCTCACATGCATCTTCCTCATCGTCAGGCACTCGTAAGAGAGCCGTAGCTGCATTTTGTGAAGTGGCTGATGCTGCGAGTTAGACGGTAAGTGCTTATTGGATGCATCCCCTCAGACAGAGAAGTACTTAGGCAGGCTAGTGCTGAGCTGCTCAGTTTTGCCCCAGATGAGTGATTCTTTTTATATACCAGAGCACAACTTTGCATAGGACACTTGTGGAATCAGATGTCTTCAGAGCAAGGCACATCTCGGTTTTCTGCAGTGCAGTTTGATCACCCTGAACCCACTAGAAGTCCTGGTTTAGGCAGTTATGTCATGTCCTGGTCTTTTCTATGAGACACACACAGATGATAGTCCTGCTCATCCTTCTGTGTGTGGACTAATATATGATGTAATATAGCCCAGAAGATGTTGCTTTTTGCAGCAAGGTGACAATCCATTTCCCATCCTYGTTCTTTCTTGGATTGCCACATTGCTTGCTGTGAGTAGGACAGAGGATACAGCCTCACACAGCTTGCATCTCTGATTATGCAGTAGACAGTTATTTTTTATGGGAACTTGGAAACTGGCCTCAAACTGCAATGATAATGCAGAATTAAAATGTTCCCTATTATAGTCAGATTCATAAATCTTCCAAGCTTCCGCATTGATCCTGTAGTATTACACTGAACTTCCATTTCAAATCCTTCTGGATAGCTCAGTCCAACTTCATCATTTTAAGGAAAATACATTACATGATCTACCTCTTTCTTGCTACTAAGATAARGGAAAACATTATGTAATGCCTTCATTTATTGCCTTTTTCTTTTTGGCTGAACTGTTTAAATCAGATGAAACAGGCAGCTGAAGACCTATAAACCATTTCCTCCTCGTTTTGTGGCTCAAGAAGAATTTAAATGGTGAGTGTATTTTGAGCTGATGGTGTCTCCCTGAAAGAACCTTTTATCCATAGAGATTCTAGTTTGTCAAACTCTCCTGACCCACGCTGTTGCCCTTGCTTAGTACAGCAATGTCATCCTTTACCTGGCTTAAAGCTGCTAAGGAGCAATTACAGCAAACATCTTTGCTAGGAGCATGTAGGGAATGTATGTATCAGCTGAAAGAATATATACCTGAGATTTCCAGTTTCTGAAGGAATTTTGAAGAAGTAAAGGGCACTGAGTACAATAAAGCGAGATCTTTTGGAAAGGAAATGTGATTCTGTTTAACAAAATCTCTAAATAGCTGATTTTGACTCTTTGCATTCACATGCCTTCTCACAAGGACCAAGACGTGTGTCCAAGTCTGGCCAAGGTCACGTGCATGAGCACCTAGAAGASCGGGATGGCGGGTGCTGAGTCTTCGCTGTGTCTCAGTGACATCTGCTTTGGAAACGGAAGATGTTTGAGATCCACCATYTCATGATTTTGTTCCACCCTTCACAAGCCGTAAGTATGAGTATCATAGCTTTTTTGCTCTCCTTATCTGGGTATTTTATGGTTCTTGTTTTAATTTTGTCCATATCTTATATGTGGATCAGTTTGTACCTTCATTAATGTGTTTTCAGTCCATGCCAGTGTCTTTGGTGTCATACACATTCATACAATCTTTTCCATTTGTACTCTATTAATACCAATCGTAGTGCTTGTTACAAATCACTGCAAGGGAACTAAGCAGCTGCTCATTTTTCACTGAGCATTGTGCTCCTCAAGAGCAAAACTCGCTTTTCATTTCCCTCTATGCAGTAGCATATCAGATACAGTAAGAACCATGTCCCATTAAGAAGACCCTACTTAGTCTCTAGCTTTAGGATTCTGTCCTATTTTATTACATGTACCATTGTGTCATTAGTGGAACAAAGCCAAAATAAGATTCGATTATTTGCTGAAGTCTGAAAGGCCACTGTTCCAAAACTGCAGAGTGTGCTATTAACATGGATGGATCCTTTGGCAACACATCCTTACTACTACAAAATACTTGCTGTGTGCAACCTAAGGCCCTTCTTACAAATTCATGAATAATTTAATCCATCCTGGCAGCTTTCATAAGCACTGCAGTCATCTGGAAGCAAAAAAAAAGTTCATTGGTTTGTGCAAAATAATACAGCTATGCTCATATTTGATCTAGCTCTTTAGTGGGTAAGAAATATATTTTTTTCCTAATTAATCAAAATCATTTTTTGCTCTATTACATTTGATAAATCTATTTAGAGGTCATGCTCAATGAGACATAGTAACTCAATGCTGAACATGAAAAAAAGAAGAAAAAAGGCTTCTGAATTGTGCACAGCCCTAGATGTGYTGGAGGAATTGTGAGTTCTTGTTTTAAATTTTAACTACCATTTGCCAGAAATTAACATTTTAATACAAAAATTTGGCCATCAAGAATTTCTTCCTTTGGTCATTTATTTTTATAAATGCTTTATCCCTACTGTGGCCTTCCTTTGAGCACTCTTAACTTGGAGACACAGTCTGTGGCAGAGACCAAGCTGTCGGAAAGGAAATCAGATCTGAGAGTGAGCAGCTTTTATTTCCCTGGGGCACTATGGTGCAAAATGATAGCAACAGCCAACAAGTAACATTTATTGTGTTAGATGCATGCAAAAGTACCCAACGGCTGATTTCTAGTACAGATTTCTAAATATTATTTTTCCCTGTAAGCACTTGTTATAAAAATAAGAAAAACATAAGAGAGAAGAAACATGCATGGGAGGGAATATATTAAAATGAGTAGTTCTTGCATTCAGAGTTTATATAATTACAGTTTTCTAGAATACAGCCCACCCTCGTATAGGGCAGAAACTAAAGATTCAAACTTGCAAAATTCTGGCTATTAGAATTTCTGGAATGCCAAGCACAACTTGGGTAGGGCATTTTTAATACTATGAATACCCTTCTGTAACTAGAAAAAGGTCTTCCACTTYGTCAGATTTGCAGAAGGAACTCATATAAAAAATAAATAAAATAATAATTCACTCCTCTTCCCGCCCTGCCACAAAGAAATGACAGTTTTACAGCTTGGTTTGCTACTGAAGAATCGGAATTATCCATCTTTCCTCTCTGGTCATGAGTAATTTGCATTCAGTGATGCCAAAGGACAGTGTAGTGAAATGACCCCAGTGTAGCGAAAGTCTCTGACCCCAGAGCCACTGAGCAGTGTGAAGAAATTCAGCCTGTACATAAACTAAACTGCATGTAAACCTAAGGAGGGRAAAAAAAAAAAAAGGAAGACCCATGCCTGAAACAGAGCAGCAAGCAAGGGAATATTTAGGTTCGTTTATATTTATTTACAAATGTTGGTAACAGATGGCWACCAACATTTCATCAATATGTCTGTTAAGCAAACTTAAAAGCTGTAACAAGCAGCACAGTTTATGTAGCCGCTCTTCTTTGGACGGCTCTTACAAGCTTTATGCAGAACAACTCCCATTACAATTCATGATACAGCTAAGTAGCTGGAGGAGGATATAAATGTAAATATAAAGCCAGAAAAGCAGCACGATTGTCCAAAACTAGAGATCAGTGGTTTCTTCAGCACAGATGCCTGCCTAAAGTGGGTCTGTGCTCTAAGGATGATTTCCTCCTCTCCTAAGTACAGACTGTACTTTGGTTATTAGAGCCTGTAGAGGCTTGGGAAGCAGACGCTATCTGAGCAACTAGATAGACATAATTTATTCTGCAGCTCCCCTTGTAAGAGAGCATATTTAGTAGACAAGGTAAATTACTCTGCTTTTTTTTCTCCACAATGCCATCATGTTTTTAAGTAACAGGTAAGTTGGGAAATACAAAGTGCTGACTGCCAGATGAAGGGAGCTGTTAACATGGATGCCCATAGCACATACATGTTTAAAAATACCATCCAAAGAAAACATACATAGAAATAGGTATCTCATCTGAGTTCCCTCAAAAGGAGGCTTCACCCTTAGGAATATCACACCTGGAGTTGTTGTGTAGGACTGACAATGTTTCTATATCTCCTATTGAACCTACTTAATCCAGCTGGGCTCCTCTCGCTCTTGAATGCCTAATTCACTCATACATTCAAGGAGAAAGATGATGTCTTCAAAGGCAGCTGAAAGGAGCTGCCTCTGATACCAAAGAAGAGACAGAATAAAGCATCTAGTTTTATCACCCTAAATGGCATGGGCAATATAACGAACAAACAGTTATTTAAAAATGGAAACAGGGATGCTTGCTTAGCCCCCCCTCTTATCTGTCAGTACTCTGTAAATATTTAGACAGGAGCTGACTTTGCTGTTGCGGCTGCAGCGAGTGGCGAGGAGCAGCGTTGCGGCTCATTAAGGGGGTTATCGCTGGAGACGGTGCAGAGGTGAAGGCGCCGCTGTCGTTTTACTGTGTGACTTGGCTCTCAGCCTAGCCCAGGTTGGAAACCTTCGTTCAGCAGAGGCCCAGTGTGTCTGTGTGTGTCTGAGAAAGAGCTGCGCTGGTTTCTAAAGAGTGGCTGGCGATAACTGCGGTTCYTTGCAGAAAGAATGGTGTGTTTGGTGGCTGTGCAGCATCATGAAAAGCAGATGGAGGYTTAACTGGAATTTAATATACTTTACACTGATTTAATTGATGACGTTAACATTTTTAAGAGACTAAGAAAATAATTGTGTCTTCCTGCCTTTCATTTATACCCAGTAGATGATGAAAACAACTTTTACACAAGCAAGTAGCTCCATAGCGAGCGGTGGTGGTGAGCTTTCAGAGGCTTCTTTCTGTGGGGCTTGACACAGCACTCAACAAATGCAGTTTCAGCCCAGGGCATGCATGGGTAATGCCATGCTTGCAGGGGTCCTCCCTGCTCTGCAGCTTGCTCGGGCCCTGCCTTGGAGCCCAGCAGCTCTGAGCTTACCCCTCAGCGTGGCAAGTGAGCGCTGGCCTGGCCTCRCCACCTCTGAGCAACACTGCTGTCCCCGCTCACGGCGACAGAGCCAGTGCTCAGCTCCCTTGCGGTGCCTGCGGTCCCCGGAGAGGCCAGGGGCTCCCCCAGCTCCCATTTTGCCTCTATCCTCACAGCACATCTGGAAACAGATGGGTGCGAGGTCARCGTAGTCCTTAACGCGGTGCCAGGCGGCGAGCGCCAACCTGGAGTGTCGGTGATGGATGGGGGCAGGCTGGAAGCTGGCGGGGCGCTCCGGCACTCTGCAGCTCAGGCACCCGCAGTGCCGAGGATCCCTGGCAGCGGCCGGGTGCCGCTCCCGCCGCGCGCTGACTCATCCCGCTCAGCGCTCGCTCAGCCACAGGGCAGAGCACCAGGYGCTGCCTGTGCGGCCCCAGCAGCCGCTCGGGAAGCAGTCGGACACATGGAGATGCAGAGCCGGGCACACGGTCTCCGTCACGGAGGAAAAGGCAGGTGCTCCGGAAGGTGGTCGCGCCAGTCGCCGGGGACGCTCCTTTCCCCTCCGTGCTGCGGAGCGGAGCCAGTGCCTTGGCATCTCCTGGTGAGAAGAAGTGCTGGGCCCTGCCGGCGATATCTGCAACCTGTGCTATTAGTCTTGTCTTAGAAATCACTGGTAATGACACATTTAGGTTAGAGCAGATCACATTTTCATTAATGGTGCTGCTTCTGGAGAGGAACGCTGAGCAGTAATCATTATTATTGCTTTAACAGATTGTATCTGTGTGCTGCTGCCACCTGCCWTTCTCAATACTACGCTATAGAGACAACCCTGTTTTTAAATCCTAGTGGATGACCTTGTTTTCAGTTCCATATTTTCAAAGTCCACAAAAGCCCAGCCCAAAATTATATATTTTAAAARTAAATATGTTGCAAGGTTCCTTTTCCTTGCTTTTCAGCTTCAGGGTCTTTAGCATCCATACAGGTCATTTTTCATTTTTTTCTCTACAGTGAGCTAAGATTTTAGGGGAGGGGAGAAGGAGAAGAGGGAATGGAATGGGGAGAAGGAGAAGAGGGAATGGAATGGAAGGCAAGGGAAGGCGAAAGAGGAGAGGAGAGGAGAGGCGAGGCGAGGCGAGGCGAGGCGAGGAGAGGAGAGGAGAAAGGAAGACAGTAAGACTGAAGAAGAAGAAAATAAGGAAATGAACTTTATGAAAAAAAGAAAAAAAAAAGCCGGGAACTGTTACTTTCATGTAAATTTTCATATAAAACCCAGCAGAGTTAGTGGCTCTGTCAAGATTTGGCTCACTGAACAAAGTGAAGGGCAAAATAAATGAATGTGTTTCATTGAGCAATAGCTCACCAACTCAAAATTATCCATGCCACCATAGAAGTTTAACAGGAGTGTAAAGTTTCCTTCCGTTTCCATAAATTGCCCAGCTCAAATTAGATCATTTTTTTGCCCTGTCAGTAGTTCTCATTCTTGGGACT